CTGCTGAGTAGTACTCTAATATGTATATATTCCATACTTTCTTCATCCATTCTTCCATTGAAAGGCATCTAGGTTGTTTCCAGGTTCTGGCTATTACAAACAATGCTGCTATGAACATAGTTGAGCATATACTTTTGTTGTCTGATAGGGCATCTCTTGGGTATTATTGCTGGGCCCAGGGGTAGGTTGATCCCGAATTTCCTGGGAAACCGCCACACAGCTTTCCAAAGTGGTTGCACAAGTTTTCATTCCCACCAGCAATGGTCTCATAGTATTTGTAAGAATTGCTGTTTCATTTCTTCCCAATAATGCTAATTGCTATCTTAGAAAATATGTTTCTGGTGCACTGGGATAACTAATTAATTGTAGCATTTGCTTACTATCTAGTCTAGAATCTTTAAACATTTTTAACTCCATTTGTTTGTGTTGCGCTCACACGTATTATACAGTAAATGGACAGCTGACAGACCTACTGGATTAATCCATGGGAAGGGTATACGTTCAAACCCACTTGGACTAACCTGTTTTTGCAGAGATATGGACACAACTGTCTTTTGATAAGTTACTGTCAATTCTGTAGAAATCTTGTGAAATTTTGACATTTCTCTCTTCTATTATATCCCAACAGAATATAAACCTGACTTTTCCCATAGAGCAACCAGCTACCTTCCCCCTCCACAATGAATCCATGGTGTGAAAAGAATTCACTCAGTCAAGCATTTGTTCTCATATCCAAAATCTACATAAAAGTAGTCTTCCCACAAATTTTCTTTATTGACAGTACTCACTGACAAGAAAGGAGCCTCACACATGACGCAATGTGTCTGCTCTAACAGCAGACTCAGGAAGGTGTAATCTATTGATCCTTTCTTTAACATAATAAGCTACTAACATTCTGTATTTACCCTTCTCCTTGGTGTCAACTATCATAAGATCATAGACCAGGAAATTAACTGTTTATAAAGAAAAAGGCCTGAGTCACTAAAACTAGCTTCAGAGAGAAAAATTCTTGCTTGGGCACCCTTCTGGAGTCAAAAGGAAGGTCCCCAGAAGAGATTCCTTTTAATTCAACTAGCCAGATGATAATGCAGATCAAATCAGCAAGTTAGTTCTCAGACATGGGGGATCTTCACTGCCACATGCCCTCTGAAACATAAGGTGCCTCCTTGCCAGATTGACCGGATTTTGTAACTTTGTGAAAATGCATGCAAGATACTATTGTTACTGCCTATTTGTTATTATTTTAAGGTATAAAAATTGCCTGTGATATTTTCTGAGAAATTGTTTCCATTCTTATTTTAATAGATACTAGTGTAAAAAAAAGAAACAGTCACAAAGGCTTCATTTTTAAAACTGTAATCCTCTTTTTCCTTTATGTCTTCAAAATATTCATTAAAAACAAGGAGAATAATCATGTGGATTTGCTGTAATGAAATTCAATGAATAAAGTCCAAATGAATAATGGCTTGAAAAAATGTTATTGTAATTACTACAGTTTTGGATCCAAAAGGTATTCCCAATTGTCCCCAACTTAGCAATAAATAGTGAAATCTTTTTACAATCATAGCCAAATTGAAGGTCGTGGTTTATGTGGGATGTGCCCCCCTCCCCGCCGGTGGCTTACGAAACTTTCATCTCTCTTTTCTGACCAAGGATTAGGTAGGCTTTATTTTCCATGTTCCCCCAGCCCTTCTCTGCTGCCTCATAACAAGCCTCAAAGCAGCAATGCCTAGCTATCAGGGCTTCTAACTCCTAAAACTGTGAGAAAATATCTTTTCCTATTTTTAAGTTGATTTTCTTGGCTATTTGTTATAGTGGCAGCAAGCAATAACACTGGATTTTTCCAATCTGCTTTTTATGTTTGTATATGAGGTATCTGCTCAGAAAGTTTTATGCCATCTTAAAATTAAACAAAGTGAAAGGCGCAGCAGCAGATTGAGGTATGCATGTCAGTCTCTGAACACATGGATGAGCCATGGACAGAGACTTTTGTGGAAATAGAACTAGATTGACAACTTTTTTTTTGAGACCAAAATTCTGATTATAACTGTAAATCATGCATTGAATAGTAAATAAATGAAAAGAAACTGCTAAACACCTTCTGACGAACTACTGTTAGACAGACTACCAGCATTTACTTGGTAGTGTGTTCATATCTTCTATGATTTTTATTGTTTTTCCCATTTCCTCATCTATTGACTATTAAAATTCACCAAATGCCACTATACAATTTTGCATTTCTGTTTTCAGTTTTTGCTTTGGTTGTTTTTTGTTGTTTTGTTTTGTTTTGTTTGAGACAGGGTTTCTTTGTGTAACATTCCTGGCTCTCCAGGAACTCACTTCACAGACCAGGTTAGCCTCAAACTCACCTGCCTCTGACTCTTGAATGTTGGGATTAAAGGCATGCACTATCACTTCCTGACCTATGTTTCTTTTTTTAATTCTATAATTTTTCCATCACAAGCTTGCAGTTCTATTATTAGGAGTATTCCCCTTAAACAGCTGACTATTGAGGTTCACCTGTGAGTGCTCATGTTTTGTAATTAGTTTGCTGTTCAATAAACTACTATGGCATAAGGCAAAGACTTGTTAAACAATATTTGTTATCTAGGAATATGAAAGTAACACAAGTGAGTCTTCCTTTGTAATCAGTATATTTGATAAGTCCATAAGGATTGCAAGTCTCGACTTGACAAAATGGGTTCCCATGAAGATCAATCAAGTGGTTGTTAGGAAGATCAGCCCTTTGCTAATTGTTGGACTGAGGGTGCTAATTTTTCTGGGGTTGATGGTTTGAAACCACCCTCGATTCCTAATCTTGTGGACCTTTGCAAGACAAACGCATCCAAACCATGCAAACAGAGAAGAGCAGAGAAGCCTTAATAAAATACAAGTCAGCAACTTACCCATAGGAAACAAAATCTCATTACTTTGTCCTGTTCTATTAGTTCGAAGTCCCTCAGAATGGCTTTTTTATGCTAATTTGGAGGACATTACAAAAGATGTTAATTCTGAGATGCAGAGATCATTGCAAGGATAGGTCAAGAGAAGGCCACTACCTGATGACCTACTCTTTTATCTTTTTTTAAATCTATGTCTGTCTTTAGTAATGATTTGGTTTTGAATTATATTTTACCTATTGATTACATAATCATCGTTTCTTTTCCATTCACTTTTCACATAGTTAAATTTATATTTAAAGTGTGTATTCTACACAAAACATATAAATATGATCCGCCATTTATTATTTCTTGTAAATTCTGTTTATTTGTAAAGTTATTTCATCATTTTAATATATTTAATGAAGAACCAAACTCAATACAAGATGTGTTTGGTTTTTTTTTTTTGTACCTTTGAAACTCCTATATAATTAACATCCTGTCAGTGTTCACTAAAATTGTCTTCCAGTGTTATCATTTCCCCCAAAATTTCACTAATGTATTTTCATAATCTCAACTTGTTTAGTTCTTCCAAAAGAAGAAAAAAAAATGAAAATACAAAAGCTGTGATTAAATTCAAAACAGAGGTGAGAAAGCACAGATGTCTCATTATCTCTGCTTATGATTGATTATACAGTATTTAAATATCATAATTACTTCTCGAGAAATTCAGATAACTGGCCATTTGAGGGGAATGTTTTGAGAAATGAAAAATCATATAACTTCACTAGCAATCAGTCAACATAAATATGTAAGTTTTGCTCTAAATATTACATTAGATAAAGATTTATTAATGTTTAATAACTTGCAATCATTTTTTGATCTTATGTTAATTTTGAGGCATAAGATTCAAGTTTTAAAACTTGTGGAATAAATATATCAAAAAGCAGTAAATGAGATTATAGAAGAAAAACTATGAAGCAAGTTGTGAGTTAAATATTTAAAGATGAAACTGACACTTCTGCTGCAGAATTAGGGGTTTTGTTAACTTGACATTGCAGTTTGAAAAAAGAAAAAAATGAATGTGTGGCGTGCTTGGGCAGAATATACCCTCAAATTGCGGATTGTAAAAGAACCCCCTTTATTTACATTTTATTTCAATTTATCTCTAACTGAAGAACTAGTTTCTGAGGAAGATAATTGATGGATTTATACCTCAGAATCCTCACCACTCTGAATTTCTTTGATGTAACATCTTGAGATGTTTTCCTTGGGCAAAATCACTGAGCATAAAACTGGTCAATTCACAGAATTTCCTCATGTCTAGACTCCCAAACTAAATCATAGAAAGCAACAAAATTACACAAGCCATGCTTGAACCTCTTCCATAATGATTCAGATAAATTGAAGATAGTCAAAACCAGAGATGTACTAGATAAAACATTTTCTTGTTTGTAAGTAATGTTTGTTTTCATGTGTTACTTAAATATATGTATCTCGACTTTTCAGTCTTATCTTTTCAGTTCTTACCTTTCTATATCTACAGTTTTTTTTTTTCTTTTCAAAGTAAGAACACAGGATCTCTCTCACGCTGTGTCTGACTATGCATCTCAGAATGTGTGGGCACGTGGCTATCAAGGGAAGTGTGTCTCCAGCTGACTGCTCCTTCCCCACCTAGTACAGTAAGGTGCCAGGAAGTGATGTCAGAGAGTGGATTCTCTCTTTTAATGAGCAAGATTCAGCCTGGGCTCACTGGGACATGGGATTTTTTAAATAAGGGTCCCCTGGGATTTTTATGTAAACAGCAGTCTGTTTTCTCGCCATTCTGGTACACTTAGCTTTCCTTTGCTATATGTTACCCAAGCAGAGGCAAATACACGTGGAAGAAAGTTTTGCATAGAATGAGCCCACATTGACGCAGGCATTAGGCATAGCCACCCCTTCTGACTGGGTAGAAGACCAGGAGAAAGGGAGTAGGGGAGATGCAAACGTATAGAGTTTGGGACCCTGAGTTTGGGCTCAGGGGCGGAGCGAACAAGAGGTCAGTAAGAGTATTGTTTCAAGACCCACAAATACATTAGGATTTTTCTTCCTCCATCAGTCGCCTAAGCCCCAATGAGGTCATAGTGATGAGAGAGAATCAGATTAAGAAAGAGGACAACGACGGAGGGGGGAAAAAGAGACAATCAGTCACGGTTGCTTTTTCTAGCCACAAACAAGTGCTAGAAATGTGGTGCTGAGTATCATCCACCTGCTCTGCCTGGAGACCTAGGAATTCACAGAAGCACTTTGCACTGCCAGGAAAACAAAGAAGAGGAGGCGAGAGGACTGGCGGAGAGGGATTGTGCTTTTAGGAAGCTAAGCTCGCTTCCTCCGCTGGGAAACAGAAGGAAGCCTGAGAGGTGCCGGGAGCTCCTGGGAGGCGAGAATCTAGACACAGCAGAACTCTGGACAGCGCCTTGAGAGCTGCCTGGGTTCACATTCGGCTCCCCAGAGCTCAGTTCCCCATTGTCGGCTTCTGGACTCCCACGGATCGCCGGCGGTTGCTGTTTGAACGTACCAGGGGTTGGAGCAGCTCTTTCTGGCCTGGCCGCAAAAAAACGGTTTTCTGGCTCTGGAAATCCAGACCTTGTGATTTTGGTGGTGAAGAGAGAAAAGTTTGAAGATTTGGACTGTGGTAGGGGGTGGAAGGGGCTAAGGAGGACTTTGGAAGAAAGAAATTGGATGATTGGCTTCTTTCTCTGAGCTGGAAGGAATGATGACCCAAGGAGGATGTGCACCAGCAGCCAGATCATTGGGAGCCTCTTAGTGCTCTCTGTGCTGGAGATAGGGCTGGGAATGTCCAGCGTTGCCGTGGGGGCAGTCAGCTTCAGCCTGGCCCTCCGAGAGCAGACACCGCAGCTTGGAGACTCGTCCCCGGTATGGAGCGGGGTGTGTGTACGTTGAGCCATTTCACTCTCTCTTTACCTCTTTTTGGGATGGTTAGTGTGCGTGCCTTAGTCACTGTCTCCTTGGGAATCAAAATTATAATTCTCTTCTGCCTGTAGGTTGTCATTGACAAGCTCGACAGATTTATATAGTCATTTATATTCATTGGGGAAGCTTATTTCCTCGTACTCGGGCTTAAGACCCAATTGAATGGCTGGTTTTAAACCTGAGTGGAGGGTCAGTCTCCACTGGTTCATTCTGCAAAAGACTGACCAGTGTTAATCATTAAAAGGTCACACATACTAAGGGCAAACTCACTTATCGTTTATATCTTTTACTGAAAATATTACATCATTTTATTGTACCAAGAGCAAGCAGGGTACTTATCTGTTTACCTGTGGGTAGTATAATCAAGGTGCACTGATGCATCAGTGTTATGACCAAAGGAAAAAGTCAGTTGAGACTTTAGAAGATCTGAGAAGGGGTGAGCATCATTCCAGAAAGCTCTACTTTGAATTTGCCTTGCTACCTTTCTGATATTCACCTCTGAATAGTCTGTTGTTCTAGGCCATCAGTTATTCAAAGGTAAGGAATGTAATGCCATTCTAATTGTAGAGGAATTTACTTTAAAAAGTGCCTACCTGTTCAGAAAATAATGTCATTTTCTACAGGTCAGGGCATACGTAAAAGCATCTTCTTTGGTCTCATAGAATAAATTATAAGGAAGCAGATCCTTTGCTGCCACCAATAATTAATAAAGTAACTACCTGATCATGAAAAAAGCCACCTCTTTTTGTCCATGCTTATGCATGCCCCCTCTGTCTGTCTGTCTTTCTCTGTCATGTGTGCCTGTGTGTGAGTGTGTGTGTGTATGTCCCATCCCCCTTCCTTTCCTCCTTCTCGCTCCTCAGATCTACCATTCTCATCTATGTCTCTAGCTCAATTGTATTTTCTGCATATTTCACTAGGAGGCAATTCTGTTGTCAACAGTCCATATTGTATTTAACAATAATAATTTCAACACTGAATTACTAAGAGAAAGACCATTAAGGAATTTAAGAAAATCCATTCAAAGTCATTCATAAAAGATGCTCTGGCCCTCTGAGTACTGCAAAATTAGATTTTATACTCCACCCCCAGGAGAGATACATGTTTATAAATTACAGAACTTAAAAAATTTAAAATGAATTCTAGAATTGAATTCTTCAAAGAATCCTTTTCCTTAATTCCATAAATTTGTATTAACCGCCATTAACTACCTTGTTCTTTATAGTGGGGATGTTGCTAATGCAGATAATAAGTTTGAGTTTGAAGGAATAAGAAGCACATCTTAAATTTCACATCTAATGCATTGCTATAAATATTTGAGAGTTGTGTTTGTTGTAATTATTAAAATATTTACTGGACAACTGTCAAAATAAAGTGCAATGCCAACATGTAAAGAAAGAGGGAGAAATTTGATCTCCTGATGACTTAGGAAAGAAAAGTTTCATATATACAAGTGCCTTCCCATTCCTTAAACATGAGAAATTGAGTGAATTGAAGTAAACTTTCTTTAAATAATATATTAGAATTATTTTATCTTTAATATTTTTTAGGTAACTGTTAGCTTGTTATTTTAAAAACATAGTGAACATTTACTCTCTCCAAAACAGGATATTATATGAATGATATGTCATATGAAATAAAACTTTTGAATTGGCTCAGAGAAAAGAAAACAAGTCATTTATATTGATAGAGTCATTACTATGAACAATTAATTATACTTTAATTTTTTACAGTAAGCACAATTCACCAAAAATTCTGGAAGAACAGTTTTGAATACTATAATATGGTTCAGTAAAAATAAATTTTTAGTAAAAATCAACTGAATAAATTATTTTGAAACTAAAATGTTCAGTTACTCAGGTTTTTCTTAAGTTCAAAAAGGGCAAAAATATAAATGTGTAAAGAAATAAATTCCCAGTAGGAATCATCATGGTTTTCAAGTTATAAATTTGATAGGCATATTATTGAAATGGTTTCAAATTCTTTTGTGATATATTTTGGACTATCTTTTCATTCCTTCTCTGGTAAATCAATATAACCAATATTATAGAGAGCTCAGTTTTTTTTGAAAAGCACTTTATTATTTACAGGAAGAAAAAAAAAACACGAGTGAGAATACAGTCTTCAAAAGGTATCACCCGACGAAGGAAATAAAATTGTTATATCACTAGCACTGGCAGAAGTAAGAAGTAACTAAGGTACCCTAAAGACAGATGGGGTAAAAAAGGAAGAGAAATGTTGGCAAGGACAGTGAAATACTCATGGAAGTACTAATGACTTTTAAGGTTTCCTGGAGATCATCTGATTTCAGTATGTCAAAGTATGACATACTCATGAGGTAAGGTCTTAAGGCAAACTAACTGGATGCAAATCCTAGAACTACCATTATGTAGTTGGGTGACTAACAAGTTTCCTCAAGCCAAAAAAAAAAAAAGAGGGTTGGCACATAAATCAATTAATAACGAGCAATCTTTTAGAAAAGTGCATATCATAAGCATGAAGTAAATATAACAACTATTCCTGGATACCCAGATTGCAAAGGTAGGTGTAAGAACTGGGAACCCCTGGGATTGAGGCAATTAACTAGGATGGAATATGATGTAAAAACTCACTGGCGTTTTATAAGGTTTAGGTGTGTGAAAAGAAGATAAGTATAGGAAAATTGATAGTGGCAAGACCATGACATGATGTGTGCCAGGCTGAAGCAATAGATTTCTCATGTTTCTCATAATAATCATCATAATAGCAGTTCTTATATCACAAAGAGACTCTAGGAAGATAGAGGGAAGCTCAATAGAAAAATCATTAATTTCTCTGGGAATTTATAAATTAAAAATCTGTATTTTTATAAATATGAGAGCAATCCAGAATAATTAACCTGTCAGAATGTAGAACCTAAATAAGTCTGTGTTTTGATTAGTGTATAAAGTTTGAATTCAAAATATTAATATCATTATTACAGACTACTGAGAACTTAAGAACAATGGCAATGGGTTTTTGATCCTACTGCACGTACTGGCTTTGTGGGAGCCTAGGCAGTTTGGATGCTCACCTTACTAGACCTGGATGGAGGTGGGTGGTTCTTGGACTTCCCACAGGGCAGGGAACCCTGATTGCTCTTCGGGCTGACGAGGGGGGGGACTTGATCGTGGGAGGGGGAAGGAAATGGGAGGCGGCGGTGAGGAGGCAGGAATCTTTAATAAATAAATAAATAAATAAATAAAAAGGGGAAAAATGAAAATTGTAAACCAGCTCAAAAAAATTGACTCAACTATTTTAGTCAAACCATCAAACTAATAGATTTGATTTTGTTCATGTCATGTTAAAAAGTGAATATTTTTACTAAACAAAGATTTCAAGGCAAATTACTCCTTTGAATCAGTCACAGACTAGATAGAAACTCCAACAGATTCCACTTAACAATGAACACTATTTATATGTAAGAACATCTCATAAGATAATGGCTAGTACACCATTTTATTTCATCATCTCATTATCACTCAGAATTAGTACATATTCTGAGTGATAATATACTCATATGTCTAGGTGACATATACTTATGTTTCTCTTGATACATGGTGTAGTTCCTTGAATAATAATCACATTCGCTAGAAGATAAACACAACTACCTTTTCAGATTTTCTAGTACCAGTAAATAGCCAGTCACATTTGAAAATGAGAATGTGAGCTACATAAAAGTCTCTGATAGGGCTAAACTGACACAGAGGCCATGGAGGGTTGTTCTTATTGGCTAGTTCACTTCCTTGTAGATCTTCATAAGTCTGATCACTAACAACCATTGGCCCAGTTAATTCTGGGCTATCTTGAAAATCTCTTGCACCAGTGACATTAGTTCAAAACTCTTCAAGTTTACCTCCAGCAGACTGTTTTTGTACAGGGCCAAAAGTCCTCCAATTCTTTGCCAAAATATTACTGGAATTTTCTCTAGCCCAGATAATGTTCTTCCTTTCTGAAATCACTTGAGCTGAGGTCCTATAGTCCATGTTGTCTTCAGTACTACTATCTTCTGTGGTCCTACTTGTTGGACCTTTAAGTCCCACTTTAAAGAGTTCAACCACTTTTCTAATCCCAAAGTCTTCCAAACAGCATGAACAGGCCACCACAGTGAAACCTTACTTAGTCCCTGGTACTGACTTTTTTTTCCTAGTTACTATTTTTGTAGTTACTATTGCTATGAAGAGACGCCACAATCAAGGCAAGTCTTATAAAGAGAAAGCATCTAATAGCAGAAAACAGGTAAGCATGATTCTGGTGTAGTAGCTGAAAGTTTACATCCTGATCAGACAGTAGCAAGCAGAGAGCAAGAGACTCAGCATGGTGTGGATTTTTAAAACCTCAGAGTCCACCCCAAGTGACACATGCCCTCAACATTGCCAAATCTACTCCAAGTCCATACCTCCTATTTCCCAAACATTCAAACATATAAGCCTATGGTGACCATGCTCATTCAAGCAATCACAGACATTTATCATCATACCTAATCTGATTTTGCTCTAATTTTTTAAAGAACAATAGATTTTTTTTTGTTTGGTTTTTCGAGACAGGGTTTCTCTGTAGCTTTGGATCCTGTCCTGGAACTCCCTTGGTAGACCAGGCTGGCCTCGAACTCACAGAGATCCGCCTTCCAAGTGCTGGGATTACAGGCGTGCGCCACCACCGCCCGGCTGAACAATTGATGTTTTAAAGAGGAAAGTGAGCAAAATTGTATTTGCACTGCAGTTAAGGAAACACTGGAGTCTAATGAGAAGGCTCCCAGTATAGATGCTATACTGGATACTGAGATTAACTGTGTAAGTAAGAAAAATACAAAAAGCACAGGTATGTAAATATAAAGTAGCTGGATTTTGCGATTCTGCATTATATTTCATAAATGCAGTCATAAAGGATGATCGCTAGTCTTTGAGATCAATATTTAATTGCATAGATTTACCATGTTGTCT